GCTGCAGCAGGTCCCAGGTCCGGGCCGAGGCTCCGAGAAGGCTGCAGGCAGGCCCCATCTGGCTGCGTTTTGCTGCCCAGAATCAGCACGAGCAGAAGGGTGCTGAGAGCTCCCACATGGTGACCTACAGGTGGGCAAGGACCGTCCTGTGTCCTTGCAGGCTCCTGTCGGTGGGCTGAACGCTGTGTTTCATGTAGTCCACCTGCAGCTCTCTTGTGTGCTGGGGAACTTGGTCATGATCTCAGTTTTCCTCTCTTGCTTTCTTTTGCAGTTCTTTTATGTTATGATTGACCTCCACAGTTCCTCTGTTCTGGTGCTTCAAGGCCGTCGATTGTGCAACACCTTTCTTTGAGTCAGAAATTCAACCTGTTCTGTCAATCATTGCAGTGTTGTAACTCTCAGCCTTTACCCTCCTGTACCCACTAACCTAGAATCAAGTGTTGTTTCTGAGTCTTCCATAGATATTTTATTCTGGTTTGCAGTGCGTTTTCTGCCCAAGAGTGACTTCCTGCTGTCTGTTTTGTGGCCTGTTTCAGACTTAGGTTAGCAGTCTGGCACTAGAGCCCCACGTTTATTCTGTATTCTCCATGAGGCTCAGTCTTCAGCTCTTAATAGAACTTCATAAGATCAAACATCAGTAGAAGTTTTGAAATGCCAGCGATGTCTGTCACACTGTGCAAACACTACAAATGCTACTGGTGGCTTCTGAATGTCTGAAATTATTTCTGGGTTCCTCCATCACAAATTCTCAAAATGTGTCTGCATTGTGAGACCTTTGTTGTTGAGAACATCACTAGATTCAAGGTGAGCTCTCTCCTGGGGATATTGAGCTCTGTCTCCTCTCATGTGGTGGTAAATTTTTGTCAGCAGGCTTAATGGGGGCACTGGGCATGTGTTCCAGCTGACTTTGATTGCCTGATTGTTCTGTCTAGCTTAGTGCTCACAACACATTGTTTTCTAAGATGCTTGCAATTAACTTTTTATGCTGTTTCTTTTCCTGGAGCCCTTTAGCCTGATGGATAGTGTGTTTTGTTTGTTCCTTGCCAGATCCTTTGGGTAGCTGATATTCCTGCCACAAATGTCCCTTAGGATAAAAGCTATTTGGTGTTCCAGATTCTCGTGTTCTTTTCCAAAAAGACCCAACCGACATTACTGCTGAGCCTTTTCTTGCAGTGGGGAAGGGAGTGTTTTTGCCAAGACCAGTCTTAGGACAATTTAACAATGAACTTGGACTTCCTCTAGTGGAACGGAGTTCTTTAGAGAAGCTACCTAAAATCAACTTGTCTTGGTTTACTGTCGGAAGATACCGTTGGATCTGCTCTGCTTAGATGCCAGAGGGTTGTGCTGGAACCAGAGATCTGGATCCACACCTCACTGTGTTTACACATCATTGTTTAGGAGATGGTGGAAGGATTACTCTCGTTATAGATTCTTTTCTGTGGTCGGGATGGGGGGCTGCTTTTAATATTTGAGCAGTGTGTGAGCTCTGTGGAGGATTTAGGTCAGGCCTTAACTCAATTTCTGGGTGTATGGCTCTCACTGATACTATGCAGTGGAAGTGCAGATTTTTCGTGTTCGGGTGATTTGACCTTTGATGAGACGAAATTAATGTTAGAGTCAAGTCAAGTTTAAATCTAACCTTCAGCAACACTCCTAGAAGAAGAAATTGGATTTGTAGCATTACAAATTGTAAGGTGGATTTGAACATCTCTATATAAGATGTCCTTATGGTCCTGTCTTAGAGAATGCTGGGGCTGCTGGCAAGCCTCCAGACTGCTGTTCTCCCTAAATATTGCATTTTCATGTGCGTGATTTGGTATGCTGAAACTGAGAGTGTAGACTTAGAAGCAGCCTGCTTGTTGGTAATTTTCTCAGCCCCAGAAACTTCCTTTGGACATGGGATAACCTTGTGTTCTTTTGTGAAGTGGTTCTGTACAGCTTGCATCCTCTGCTTGCAGAGATGATCCTACAGCTGGAGGATGCAGTGGGCTGCGTAGCAAGAGGCCAGGCTTTCTCCAGGTGTATTGTTGTCTGCAGGTATTGGGCAAAGGCAAGCAAAACCAGGTAACCTGCATGGTTGTGGTAGGAAGGAAGGCTGGAAGGTGATCAAGCTGTTGAGGCTGTGTAGTGCTGGAGTAAGTGACCCTGGCAGGATGTGGCTGCACAGATGTTGCTCTGATTTATGCAAGAGAAAAACACAGATCTCTGTTCCTCCTTGGACAAGGGGAAAGAACTTGGCTTTCTGCAGGTCCTGGCTTCTCTGAAGTTCATCAGACTGTCACCAGGACTTTTCTGAGAAGGAGCTAGGCTTGAACAAAAGGGATATGATGAAATCACTTATGAAACCTCTTGCTGTTCTCTCTCCTCAGGCACCAGGAGTGCAGTGCTTAACACAGAAGCCCGCACTGTAGAAGCGGACGTCCTGAGCCGCCGGTGCGTCATGATGCGGCTGGTAGATTTCTCCTATGAGCAGTACCAAAAGGCTCTCCGCCAGTCAGCTGGTGCTGTGGTGATCATCTTGCCAGGGTCTATCTCTTCTGTCCCGCAGGATGTTGTAAGGGTAAAGAAAAAGTTCCCTTTCTCTTCTGATGGGAGGTGTACTTGAGAGGGAGAGAGGCTTGGGTTGCTGCAAGACTGAAAGCTCCTGTTATAACGCCCAACAAATTGTATTCTAGTTTTAAAACTTATCTTTCTCTCTCTCCTTTGGTTGTTAATTTTTTTTCCTGCCTTTTTGCATGTTTAGCAGATGCTAAGTTTTGTCTCATTTAAATCCTTAGCAATTTATGGAGATAGAGCCGGAAATGCTTGCTATGGAAACCATTGTGCCAGTCTACTTTGCAGTGGAAGATGAAGAACTGCTGTCTATCTATGAACAAACAAGGGCTGCTTCTGCATCGCAGGGTTCTGCCTCAGCTGCAGAAGGTGATTTCTAACAAGTGGGAGAAAAGTTTAGAGGAATATGGGCTTGATTCCGCTTCTGGGAGCAGTCTGCTGTGTTATATGCACCGTGAACCAGTATTCTGTTGCCTTCACATTTGTTCTGTCTTTTGTTAAAGTGCTTTGAGTTTTAATGGAAGAAAATCCCAGTGTAAGGGAGAGTGTTGCTCAATTATATGTGCAAATACAATTGCATAGAGTCGAGTTCTCAGCTTCACATAGTTGCAAGTAAGAAATAAAACTCAAGTGAAAAACATCAGTGAAGATGTTAAGTGACTACAGTGTGTTAGTAGAAGCTGAAGGTTTTTGTCTGACCACAAGTCAGTTCAGTGTTTCCACATATTCCTCTGTAAATAACTTACTGACCTGCTGCTCATGATCAACTTTACCACTACTGGAGAAAAGTTTTTGTTTAGACAGCTCAAAATATTGGGATTTCAGGACAGAATGAAAATGCATTATGACCAGGATTCTATGTCAATTTATAACCACAAGCAACAAGTGAGAGGGCTTATATCGTTTCAAGCTGGTCTCTCCAAAGCTTGGTTAGCAAGGGAAATAGAGATATAACTTCCCCAGGTATACTTTTGTTGTTGTTGTTGTAGTTCTGCTGCACACGGCAACTGCCAATGGCTTCCAGATGGTGACCAGTGGGGCTCAAAGCAAAGCTATCAATGACTGGCTCATACCCAGCGTGGAGGTGAGTTGTATATGGATTCAAACTGGCAACATTGGCAGCGTGCCTTTTATTGGGACTTCATCAGACCTTTGGACTGGTAGGGGAAGTTAGAGAAGCCTGAGCCAGGTAGTAAGTATCTGAAGTCCTTGGAGCTGAAGCTGCTGCAGCCTCCATAGGCGTGTAGAAGTCAGGCTGTCTTTGCACAGGTGCACAAGAGAGGTGATGCTAAGTGATGGTAATCTCCTTCCTCTGCAGGGAAGGCTAACAGGGCTGGGTGGAGAAGACCTGCCCACTGTTGTGATAGTTGCCCACTATGATTCTTTTGGAGTGGCTCCAGTGAGTATTACTTCTTTCTGCAGCTCTCTGTTCCTGTCTTTTTTGGCCATGTAGTCTCTGCCCCTATGATTTTTCTTTGCCCTAAAGATGTGAGGTGGTGACAAGCAGAGCATAGCGGTGTGCTATCTTGAAGGCTGTTCTGGTACGCGAGAGTAAGCGTAGGGTTGTTACCTTGTCTCTCTACCGCTTCATCCTGTAGTGGCTGTCACATGGTGCTGACTCCAATGGCAGTGGGATCTCAGTGCTACTGGAACTAGCCAGGCTGTTTTCCCGGCTGTACACCTACAGACGTACCCATGCTGGGTAAGAAGTCTTTCCTTTGCTCTGTTTTGTTTCCCTCTGAGTACAGCTCCTTTTAATGGCCAAGCTTCTTCCTTTGGTTTCTGTAGTTCGGCTCAAGCCTGGGGACAAGTGGAGGGTATGATCTGGGAAGTAGATTCCATCCTCAAGCGCTGGCAACTCCCTCCCTTTTACCCCGTCCTGCCATTACCTTAGTATGTGGCACATAGGAAGTGTTTGTTAGTGAACAGTTTGCCTGGAATGTCAGGTGCTAGCTGCTGTGATTTCACCACACCTCCAAGCCTGAGTAGAGGAGCTCTGTAGCCATGGAGTGCAGTGTGCTAACACTTTTCTATCTTCTTTGATGGGTAGGTATAACTTGCTGTTCTTCGCATCTGGAGGCGGCAAGTTTAATTATCAAGGAACTAAACGGTGGCTGGAAGACAATTTGGACCACACTGGTAAGGGACTGGCATTCCAGAATGTTCTTTGGCAAGGCCTCCGTTAATGTGATTGTATTAAGTGTCTAGTGCCTCAGCCCTCCTGTGAGAACCTCCTTGTGTGGGCTTAGCTTTTTTGGGATGGAAATCCCAGCACAAAATATAGCAATAAAGGTCTGAATTTTTTTCTCTTCCAGATTCCAGCCTACTGCAGGACAACGTAGCATTTGTTCTCTGCCTTGATACTCTGGGCCGAGGCAATAGCCTTCATCTCCATGTCTCAAAGCCTCCCAAGGAGGGGACCTTGCAGCATGTATTTCTGAGGGAATTGGAAATGGTAAAGAAAAGCATTTTAGGTAGATGGGAGCTTGAGATTTACTATGGGGAGCTGCCTCTCTCTGAGAGAGGAAGGAAGAAATGGAAGAAAGGGTGTGCCATTTAAATATTTCATATATTGTTTATGGTCATTGATTTGAAGTGCAGACCAGTCCTTATGCCACGCCTCAAAACAAAGCAGGCTAGATTTGCTGCATTTTCCACTGCACTTCCTTATGGCTTGCAAAAGCTACCTTGTAGTGACCTAAAACCAGCTTTTTTTGACATGAAAATAGCTTTTTAATGGCAGTAATTGCACCTTTCAGGTGGAAGTGTATGTTCCTTCTGGAACAGAAAAAAACCGGGTCTAGGTGGACTGGGCAGTGCAGAATGAGACTATGCAGTGGGCAGCATGACACCCTGGATGGCTTATCCGTTCCCTCAGGTTATCGCCAGCCAGTTCCCAGAGGTGAAGTTTTCCATGGTACACAAGAAGATAAACTTGGCTGAGGACATGCTGGCATGGGAGCATGAGCGTTTTGCAATCCGACGCTTGCCAGCATTCACCATCTCCCATCTGGAGAGCCACCGGGACAGCCTGCGCAATAGCATCATGGATAGGAGGTTAGAGGCCTTGGGGAAGGCTTGAAAGGCAGCCCGTAAACAAATTGGCCTCATGGCTGCTTGTGCCGTTCTGGAAGTGAGAGAACGGATTGAAAAAACACTGGGAGTTGGGCTCTGGATTCTGGCTCATGCTTGATGCAGTGAAAAAGGCTGGTTTCTAGAGGAAGCTGATCCCATTGATAGGTCCATAACCCCCTCTTTTGCTTTAGGGCAACGATAGACACTAAGGCACTAACCAGGAATACTAGGATCATTGCTGAGGCTTTGACAAGGGTCATCTATAACCTAACAGACAAGGTAAGAGTTGCCCATCATGCAGTGCTAGCCAGCTTGGTCCTGCCCAGCCAAGCTTGCTCTCATCAGTAGGCTGGTTTTGTTTGGTTTCTTTCCCTTGCAGGGAGCACCTGCAGATCTGCAGATCTTCACAGATCAGATGGTGAGCACAGTGCCTTTTTGTAACCTGTGGGAAGAAGGAATCAAGAGTCTGGGAGAGAGGTCTGGTCTTAGCATATGTATGGTTTACTCCCTTTCTTTGATGGTATATTTCTGCAGCAGATCCAGCAGGAGCAGCTAGAATCAGTGATGGACTGGCTGAGCAGTCAGCCTAGGGCTGCCCAGCTGATTGATAAAGACAGCACCTTCCTCAACACCCTAGAATATTATATGGGTCGCTACCTGAAGGATGTCAAACAGCATCATGTAAAGGCAGACAAACGGTAAGAGACGAGATGAAAGAACCATCGAGGGCATGCCAACTGGCTTCCCCCTCCAGTGAATTTTGTCTGAGCTGCAACTTCTTTGGCTTCTTGACGATGAGGCTGGAAGTGGTTGCTCTTTTCTGCTCTTCTGTCAGTTTTGGTTCGTGTTCTCTGTTCTCCCAGAGAAAGCTCTTTATCCTCACAACACAGTAATAAGTCCCAGCAGCTCCCTCTGTCTGAAGATCTTGTTTTTTCACTCTTTTGGTTCCATCCTTCCTGTTCTGAGTGCTGCCTCTCTCTTCAGAGTAGGGAAACAAAGGCTTGATAAATAAAATCAGTTCAAAACTGATATGCAAGGTGGTCATGCTTACCTGTCTCTGGATGAACCCCCTGGGAACAGAGGTCTGGGCAGTCCTTTCTGCAGTGTCAAGAAGCATAATACAACCTGAAGAATTTCTTCTTTTCACAGGGATCCTGAGTTTGTTTTCTATGACCAGCTGAAACAGGTGATGAATGCATACAGGTACGGAATTCCCTTTGGTGTGTTGGGCTGTTGTCTCACTCTGTGGCAGCACTCTGTAGCAATTCCACATGTTCTTTCTTTATTGCAGAGTCAAGCCAGCAATTTTTGACCTCCTCCTGGCTGTCTGTATCGCAGCCTACCTTGGTGTTGCCTATGTTGCAGTGCAGGTAAGAGAAGCAAAGCAAGAGAGGGGTGTATTTTCCTCATAAATCATGTTAGCTACAGTAACTGGTGCTCACACGTTCCCATCAGCAAAAGTGGAACAATAATGCCACTCCACTCTAAAAGCAGTGATCCGAAATGGCCGACTGTTTTGGTGTGTATATTTGAGTATCTCGGTTGGCTGTGTTCAAGACAGTCTCTTGTCATTCTAGTGCAAAACTATTTTTATTCCTGCTCTTGGTCAAAAACATGCACAACTCATTTGTTAAAGCTGTTTTGGCTAGGTAACAGCTTCAGACTGAAATTTCTCAAGTTAACTAAAATCTGCTTTAATAAAGATTTGCAGCTTGTAGTAAATTAGAAGTGTTAGGAGATCCTCCAGTATCTGACCTTGAGATGCATCTTAGAAATGCATCTTCAGGGTTTTGTTTATAACCATAAATACATCCTGTATTCATACTCCTAGAAATGTGATATTCCATGCCTTGGTCAGTCAGCTTATATTTAGTGGTTCTGTTTAACTGTTAAGAAAGACACTATGAGCTAGACTGCTGATCGTGGCTGAGTTCTCTGAAGAGCATGAATGAAAGGGAGGCATTTTAGGTTGACCTAAATTTGGATCCCTTCATGTTATTAGTGCTTACTACATGTCTGAGGAAACAACAAGCATTTAAAAATCTGATGTAACAATATAAACAGGAGGGAAAACATATATATATACTCCCTTTTGTCAGCTGTCTTCATTGTGTTTGTTAATACAAATTATTTGAAGCCTGGATCGTGTTATATCAGTGAAATATCTGAAGTAGCTGTTATTGAATGAAAATGCAGTTAATCAAAGAATAAAACGGAACTAAGTGAATTGCTAAGGCACTGCTGAAATGGTGAAAGAAAAGATCCTGTTAAAGGTTTGTGAACTTCTGGGAATCTCTGTGTTTGCCTAGTTCATTACTACATTCCTGAAACCGCTAGCAGCAGTGTTTTTGTAGTGACCAGTATCACGCAGGTGTTGAAATCTGAAGCTTTCTTCTCTCCTTCAGAAGGAGTAGAATTGCATCAAAAAACATGGAATCTTTAACAAGTGTTTGCATCTTCACAATGAGGGTGATACAGGTCTGCACAAACACTTCTATAAGCTGTCACTTTCCATGTAACTTCAAGTATCTGGTTTCACTGTAACAATTCCTCCTAGTTCAGCAAATCCTACTCTGTCTTCAAGACGAGAGTGCTAGTGGATGATCCAAACAACATACTGCATTTGCACATTACTGTTGTTTTAAGCCTTCTAGTAATTTTTTTTCTATGTAGAACATAGTCATTTTGTTTGAATTGAAAAGGGCTTGTGGTTACTTATTTTTCTTCTGTTCCCAGCACTTTGGTCTCCTTTACAAGATGATACAGAGATTATCCCTTAAAACCAAGCAGCAGTGAAACAAGTCACCACCTATACAGCAGCACTGAGCCATCCGTGAACCCATCAGGAACCTTCTGCCTTCCACTGAATCCTGCTGATTCTCTTCCTCTGTCTCCTCTTTGCTACTCTATAGAAGAGAAGAAGGCAGAAAAAAAAAATTTTAACTCTTGTGCACCTTTTAAGTGCTTTTCTTCACCTTCTTCCTCTGACTTGCACCACATCTGTTTTCCTTTGCTTTTTTGGCGAGGGAGAGGCTCAGAGAGTTCAGTAGTTCCAGCAGATTGTTTAAACACTGAATGGCTGATTCTGAGCAGCTTCTATAAATATAAAACTAAGTCCAGCACTTTTGTGGACACGTGCCATACAACTTGGAAACTGAAACTACAGAGCAGAGTGTCGTGTTATCTCTGTGCAGCAAACAAAGACTCAGAGCAGTTGTTTAAAATTAAAAAAAGTGCACATGTGAATTAAAGAGAATACTATTAGCATGTTTTCTTATGGCACCTCTTAAGTTCCCTGCCTGGCTTTAGGAAGGTGTGTGCTGAGCAAGCAGTGTCTGCAGCAAACATCTTGCATTTTGTTTCATTTGTGCAATATCTCATTCCCTTTTAGGAGGTGCACTGTAAAACATGATGACTGTTATTGACAGAATGAGGAAAGATTGTTAAAACAGGTTCCTTGCATTAAGGTTCTTACTGAGATAGGTTGTCCCTTGCCTCTGTTGGAGCGTGCATTTTGCTGTGTACTTGATTTTTCAAAGTTTGTGGTCCTTGGAGCAGCTGACAGCTGCCACCATTCTGCTAAACTCTTGCTTGGATTTTACGGAGTGTTCTACAGTCCCAGCTGCTGCAAGATCGTGTTCTGTGCTGTTCCACATATTTAAAAGAGCTGGTTATATTAATAGCAAGAGCAGTCTAGCTCCTGCTGAGCTCTGGTCTGTAATTCCTTCAATCTTCATTCCTCAGTTTTCACTTGCAGATGCGTTCTGGATTTTGTGGTGTTTTCCCACATTCACCTGCAACTCAGGGTCTCATTTCACATTTTTCAGCTCGATTATTTCTAGAAAAACACTGTTCCTGTCCTGCACATATGAGTAAGTTCCTGAAGTGCTTGTTGCTCTCCTTTCATGTGCTACCCCCAGTATGTATGAAGGCAAGCGGATCATTTAGCCATTAAGAAACAGAACAAAAAATGAGGTTTTATGAATGGCATTTTAAACATGGCTGTTTCTAGAGCTGTACCTCAGAGAGTGTATCTCGGAACACACATGCTCTGTTACTTTAATCCTTGAGCAAGCTTTATTTTTAGTTTGCTGATGCTTCTGGATGGAGAGAACTATGTTGTTGCCCAAAGTAGTTGCCAGTGCAAAGGACAGGAGGGCAAGGTAACCAGTTGCTCAAACATTGCTGTCATCCTATGTGGAGGTTTCCTGAATTTCACCATTCAAGGTATGCAGGCTATTTGTCACCACTTTCTGGTGAGAGCCGAATGCCCTTTCTGGACAATGTTGCACTTTGTTTACCCTCAGCTTCTGGAAAATACATCAAGATACTGACTACAAGTCCTGGGCCAGTTGTAGTTGTAGAAAATGTCCTGATTGAATATTACCGTCCTGTCACTCAACAGTGTTTGAGTCCTCTCTGTAATTCATTCTATGCATATGAGGTCTCTTCACCAGCTACAGTGAATACTCTTTTTTTCTTTTTTTTCTTCTTTTTTTTTTAATCACTCCTTGTATTTAAAATATCATCTTTTACAGACGCTAAAAAGCTCTTATGCGTTTGAATGAAGCTGTACCTTTTTTTTTTGTATGCAAGGAAAATTCAGGCTGTACATCCTTGTCTGCATCATAGCTGCTGTGCATGCACTTGCTAGAAAGGAGGTTATTGTGGCCAGTCGCTGTCATTGTCCTTTGGATGGGGACCAAAGCACTGATTTCCATCTGTCTTTGATTCACTGTAGTCGTCTTGGAGTACCCTTACCCCTAGTGAGCTTTTTGCTACTTTAGAAGTGTAGCAACTTATTCCTGAAAATGTCTTTTCCTCTCCAGGAGAGCATGCTGATGTCAGCGGCTCACTAATATCAGTAGGTGGCATGGTACCAAGCACTCCTAAGATATCAACCCTACAGGGAAATTTTTTTCTGTTCTTTTGAGTGTTTATTCAAAATGCATCCCTCTGCATGCATGAAGTGTTCGCGACGCTCCTTTGCCAAATGAATTTGCAATGACTTCAAAAATTGCTGTAGTGGCTGGAAGATGAGCCTTGATTGTTTTCCACTGGCTTTTATGCTCTGCCCTTAGAAGCTGTATATGTTGTGCCTGCTCTGGACTGTGTAGGTTCAGAATGTGCATGGTACAGTGGCCATCTGAAGAACTTCTCTGTAAGTTCTGAATATCTGGAAGTAGTTTCAGAGGCCTCCTGCTGCATGATACATTTCTGGTGTGTTGCAGTTAAAGAGGGCGTGTTCCCTCCAATCGAGCAGATTACTTAAGCGGATTTAATGAAACTCCTTTACTTCACCGAGGAAAGTAGAAAAAATCAAAATTATTGGCAGTTCTGCTACAGCTTGACTGGATGCATATAAAATTTCCAAGTAGTGGGTAAGAGACAACAGGCCCGGACTGTTCTTCCTTGCTGTGGAGACTGTTGACCTTTCATATTCCAAATGAGAAGCTCAGTCCAGCGAGACAACCCCCTATGGTTGCAGCTCTGTCCTTGTCACGACTGTAGCATTAAAACAAACATTGTAGCTTCTTGTGATCTCAACAATAAACTGTTAACACTCCTGATGCAGTACTAGAAGCCAGTGGCAGCTATCTAAATGGAAGGTGCATGGGGTAAATGAGGAGAGTTCATAAGCCTGAAGGGCAATTGGGATAGTACATCACTCTCCCCCACACGAGGGTAATTTGTCCTGTAATCTGACTGGATGCGTTTTGTCTACCTCTAGCTGGCTGCCATAGAAAGTAGCTTTTACCACAGATAAGGGTTAATGCTTCTGATCAAAGTCCATGTGCACTGAAACGTTATATACTGAAATCTGAGATAGCCAAACTCTCACATAGCTGGAATGGAGTACTCGTCCTAGGAGTAAACCCACATTGCTGTTTCATTTGGGATGCTGACAGAGAAGCTTGTAAATAGACCCTGCTATTCTGCTACGTTTTGAAAAAACGAGAAAAATTATGTCAGTCTATACTGCAGCATATCCGATCGATTCTGTCACCAACATGATGCGCAGAGGCAGAAATCCAACAGCTGTGCTAGTAAAATAAAAGTTCACACACTGCAGAAGAGCTCTGTGTAGCTGATTCTTGTTGCCCCTATTTTTACCTATCCTTTTTATCAGGAGTTTGACTGACCTGGAAGGAAGAAGCATGGAAAGCGTATGTCCACACATACACAAGTGGCTAGCAGTTGATGCTTCCAGCCATAAAACCGTTTTCTTTGCCATCTGGCTTTACCTGTTGTCCTGGTGCTGTTAAAGTCTGTGGCCCACAAAAATTTGGTTTTCCAACACGGTTAATCTGAAGCTGTTCATTCCTTCTGTCCATTCTCACACACACAGGCACTGATGGAGGTCGTATGTGAGTAGTTTCAAGCATTTTAGTCGATCTCCCAAACAAGAGAGGTGGTTTATTGTCATAAGTACTACTGTAACTCCACCCTTGTACTCAGTGCTAAAAAGAAAAACCCTGAAGCCAGAAGGGAACTGGGTAGCCCACTATCTGTGGCTGGAGGAGTTGCCACAATCCATTTACATGTTTAAAACCACAGATACCCAAAATTGTTGTAGGGCGTGGGGTTTTGGTTTGTGGTTGTTTTTTTTTAAAATTATTTTCTTCATTTAATTCACGTAGTCTCCTGTTGTTCATAGCATAAGCCAAAATACTGAGCTCCTGCAGCTTGTGCCCAAGCTGGGTTTTAGATTTAAGAGCCATTCAGTCTTGACTTCCTGAACTAAAATGAAGGGGCTGCGACTATGTGTCTCAGTAAATAGGGCCTCTGGGTACTCAAGTGTGGGCTCCTGCTTGCTCACTTAAATCTGATTAGTTTTCATTTGTATTTACTGAGTAATGAAACTTAAAGGTTGTAATCTATATTTTCAGCTCAGGAAAAAGGGTTGATTTATCTAGCAATGTTAACTCAATTATTTATCTCGCGTGTGTCCTGAAGAACAAATGTATATAGAAGTGAATATTTAAAAGCTAATAGAAAATTCAATGCAGTTGATTTACATATTTTTCCTGACTGTAATGTAATTTTATTTAAGTACTTTAACATTTTTCATTTCCTTAATTTATTTATCCTTTTTTTCCCTTGCAAAATAAACTGAGCGAGTAGGTTTGATGAACAAATTTGTTGGAGAACTAATTGCTTCTGGAAGCTCAAAAAAATGGAATCTCCTTGCAATATTTGAAGGAATAGACCTCCTGCAAAAAAGGGAGAAAATGCATCTGTTTAAGAGCTTACATCATTTCTTCTGAGTAGTCAAGAGTAAAATACTTTGACAGAAAACATGTACAAGACTTCGAGCAAGATTCCAGCACCTCGAGGCGAGCAAATTCCCGTTTATTCCAAGGGGAACTGATTTGAAGCAATTAACGTTTCTACGCGGGACAGCTTCAGTACCGTGAAAAAGTACCTGAGAGGCCAACATGTGGTGTATGCTGGTGGTATATTGTTGTGCCTCTGTCATTACCAAGACGTTCTGAACACCTGTAAACTACTTGCGCAAACTGCGGACGCTGCAGGAGATGTGTTCCCTGAGCGGGAGCCTGTCCAGGTCTCACAGACCGCAGCGCTCGCAGCCGGAGGATGGGAGGCTGCTGGCCCGGGCTGCACGCCTGCCTCCTGGCGCGGGCCGAGCCCCTCGGGGCTTCTCCCCAGTAAGGCCCTTC